TATATTTGACCAATAAATTATTAATTATTCAAAATAACTAAGAATTAAAGTAGAAAAAACCTTAAAACTTATAAGTAAAGGTAACTTATATATTGTTAACCAAACAATTATTTTCAATAAGTTTGAAAATAAACTTATGCATAGTTACCTTTTCTCAAAGATGACATTAGCCTTTAACTAGTCATGACTTCACCATAAAATGTATGAGAGAGAGAGAGAGAGAGAGATGTGAGTTATTATACAACTATTTACCTTTATATAAACAATACAACTCAATTTTAACCATACATTTAATTTGATGAATATGTGATTTTATAAAAGTTTAAATTATTTCATAATATAAAATATTGATCATAATTAATGAACCATAATCATCTTCCATAACTATAATCATAATAAATGAACTCTTATCATTTCCATAAATATCTCAATTGATTGAATTGCATTGATTTTTCAAATGTGATGAGTTGCATTTGAAACGTCATCTCTTTCTCTCTCTCTCTCTCTCTCTATATATATATATATATATATATATATATATATGGGGTTGGGTTCACGTGAGACAAAGTTGTTCTCGTCAGACATGTAAGACACAATTTTTACACTTGAAACTTTACAACAAAATGTTGTGAAAGTAAAAAAAATTGAATCTTTATAGCAAAAACGCGTTCAAGTATAAAAATTATGTCTCACATAATCCCATATATAATATATATATATATATATATATATATATATATATATATAAGTCTCTATATTATTGTATAGTTAGTTAATTAATATGATAAAGTTTCCTTGTTGTTTATATGATTTAAGAAATTATTAATATAAAGTTTATACAATATGATCTTTTATTTCCTTCAATTACAGAAGTTATTATTATTCTGAAAATGAAGAAAAACGAATATTTCTTTGGTAATGTAATCTGGTTGTCGTCGTCGTCTAAGTAGTGATCAAAAATAAATATTTATTGCGATGAGGGGGTTTAAGTGCAAAATAAAAAATGTATAGGGGCTAGATCTGTAAAACTGTTAAGTATTCTGGTCTCTGTAATTGCACTCTTACTCCACTGCTACGTCACCGCTTTCGTCATCCAAAAGTTTACGTGTCCTTACTATGAAAGCTTATGTATCGTGCCTCTCACACCATTTTACAACCCTTTTCATTTGGTACCAAAATCTCCTTCATCTTTACCTTTCAAACTTTTCCAAATAAATAAAGATATATCCTCCTTAGGGGTATTTGGTTAGTATTATTAATTTTTAATTTATTATTAATTAATAAGAACTGACAAAAATTGTTTGATTTTATATAACATAATAGATTCATTTTTCTAGAATGTCTAGTCCATAGAAATTTTGACTTTAATACCATGTGAATATATGTGAAATCAAATTAGATTACTCTCCGAAATGTTTTTTTAAAAGATGAGAAATTCCAACATATATTGACGAAAATATATTCAAATTTAGCCAATATGAGAATATTAATTGGATAATGATTAAATTTTATTTTCAAACAATAATATCTTAACACCTATACGTTCATTGTATCTTTTTCGATTTTATATAAGATTCTATATGACAAATTTAGATATTTAATTTTTTTTAGCAGAAATGTATAGCAATTTACATATGAGATGGATATAATCTAAAACAGATGAAAAAATAACGATCCTCTTCTCATTTATATTATGTTTTTTATTCATAATATTTTTCATGTATTAAGCATTATTGTAATATTATATTATATTATATTATATATGATTTTATTTTTATTTTCTTTTTGTATTTGGAGCTTCCAATTCGATGGTTTTCCCTTTTTCGAAAGGATGTGTAAGAGCTTGAGAAAAGCCATTTCATTTTTGTCATCCCAATATAAATAAGCATTGTTGCTTTTTGTTATATTTTTAAAATGCATAAAAACATTTAATGGTTTTCAATTTTTCTGCTTTACATACATGAATTAGATTGAATTTAGATTTATGTTCCTTATCAGTTTGTCTTCGAATAATTATACAGAATGATTTTCGTTTAACTAAAAAGAAATTAATTATAGCATTTGTAGCCACACTGTCACCCCACCCCGTGACATTCACAATCAAGCCCCCAATAGATGCCTAACTAATGTGCACACGAAACAAATTCAAGGCACACGGATTATCACTTGCAAGAGATGTCACTATATCAAGGTAACCTACTACCGTTGTACAAATCCACACATCCTACGTAACTTTAGATAAACGCCAATGCACAATGGTAATTTGCATAACAAAGACATATATGCATAAAAACCATATTCAATATTTTTAAAATGTTCGTAATCGGTTACATGTAAATGAAAGTTAAGGTAAGAGAATTTACCTGAGATCCCGATACTTTAAAATAACCGAACATGGAAATTACCCGGCACAATCCACATCTAAGTAATTGACCACACGTTTTTAATCATCAAGAAATTATCTAATTATTACCTTAAAATCCCAATCGAAGATCAATTTCCAAAGTAGAACAATATTATTAAACTCACAAAATCAAGGTTTTATATCCCAAAAACACCCAACTAAAATGATTAAACTCCTTAATTTCATCCTAAACATTATGAATCAACATTTAGAAATTAAACCTTCTACCCTTGATGATTATCTCAAATACTGATCGGTTTACATAGAAGATTAATTCAAAATATGAATCCATCATTCAAAATATATACATAGAAGATTTTGGACATAAAATCACCATTGATTAAAGAACCCACAAAATCTGTTATTCCCAGATTCAATGAATAGAACAATAATGAACAATGTAGCAATCAAAATCTTGAGAAATCGTCTTGTATATTGAATGAGAATCGCAATACAGAATATGAATGTCAAAGTACGGCTGACGAAATGATTAAGCAATGATTACCCTAAACTACAAATAAATGAAAACAGTTTATACCATTAAGGTATTTACACATTAAGGCCCTCTACTTTAATACAATAAAAATATGATTCCAACAAAATCAACCTACTGTACGATCACTAGATTTTGACAACCAGTATATGTAGGTGTCTAAGATGCTTTTAGACTAGTTTTAGAACGCCTAGCTTCTTCCTACCATTTGTGGTTGGAGGACATGGATAAATCGTCAAGTAAAAGATCTTTAACAGCTATACGAGACTTATATGGTGATTTAATATAAGTTGTAAGTTTTGTTCTATCTTGTCCAAATTAAAGTTAAATTGCCATTTTATTTCACGTTCATTATCAGTGCTTTCTATCCACTACGAACGTCACTTCATTAGATCCTATATTGGTAAGTTTGCATAGACCAAATCTCCTTCTTTTCACCCCCTACCACACGATCTAAAGTAGTTTAGTTCATCCTTCTGACTTATTAATTCCACTAGATTGACTTTATATATCTAAAAACACATAAAAATAACATAAATAACGATGCAAAGATCTTTAGGGAAAAAGCGATGCACTCTTCGATTATGTTCTGATAACACGAAGAATGCAAAAAAAATATCCATAATCTTTTAGATAGTACTATTATAAACTACAATAGATAATATAATTGCACAACACCAAATAAGAAAACTATACACTGTGAGAGAGAGAGAAAAAGAATTGTTACAAAAATTCATATATGAATCATTAAAAAATTCATATGTGAATCACTTCTATTACCATCTCATATTATTGAAAATTCTTATTTAAATATATCTTAAAGAAAATATTAAGTAACGTAGGATTGTATACCTAACATACGCCACGTATTAATTGTTGATTACACCACCACGAACATTTTAGTGATCCACAAAATTTTGTCCGAATTGCCGCCTTTTTAGTGTTCCAAGTCATATTTCTCCATC